TTTTCATATTCACTATTCTCGTTTGTCCCAGAAAGTATTTCAATCAGTGAACATTCCAAATTTCCTTCCGGCACAACAACGTCACTCCGGCAACAATAAACCTCGTCCATTTCATCGAAAAACTCCCATGTCGTCGCTGCTTCGCCGGATGTGTTGTTTCGCTTTTTAATGCGTTTATAAGTGACCGTAAAGTTTAGAAATTTTCTTGTTATATCATCCCGAGAGAACGGGAAGTCACTATCCACTTCTTTGATTTCTCGCAAGACTTTTTCCCATAAAACGGACCGCTTCTTGCGTTTGGCACAGAGTTCCCCTTCATTACGCAGCCTTGTATTGAGCAGACGTTTCTTTTGCTCATGTGTCCACTTTCTTTCGCTGCAAAATAAATGTATACATAAACATTTATGTGAATATGCAATACAAAAATAAACATAAGCACCTACCTTTCGCTATTTTCCATTTTTGAAACACCAAACGCAAACAAAAACAAACGAAGCATCAACTTTGTTAGTGATGCGCTGGTTGCTCTACCGATACGTTTCGATAATTTTTCGTATACGTTTTGGAACAGCTTACACTGTCAATATTTTGTAGTTCGGCGTTATGGAACATTACACTTTGTGCGTATGCAATGCAATTGACGTTTTGGAAGTCAGCCTTATATTTAAGACGGCAATGGAGGATATGCTTTCAAACCAAAACCAAACGTGAACGTGAATTGTGGTGAAAACGTTGTATTAAATGCTTGAATAAAGAAATACATTTTGGGCGGGACGATGCTCGCTGGGTCTGCTAGTTAGATATAAATGCAAAGCGCCATCAGTTGGTAACTTTGTTTTTCGTATCTGAAAGAAATTACTCTTTAATAACTTTTCAATAAGCCTAGGATCATAAATTTTATATATATTTACGGGTTTTAAAAGCATTTTGTATACATGTATTACATATAAGAGGGGTGGGCAACGCCGAGGCCGAAAAGAGCCACATGTAAATTCTAAATGCTACAAAGAGCCACAAAACAAAAACAAAATTTTTATTTTTAAATATTATTAGAAACGAAAAACATTAAGTTTATTATTATTCTAATTCACGTAATATATTAAAGAAAATTTAAAAGATCTATTTGGCCAAATTTTCAAAATCTGGTTTTACGTCAGTTAAAGCCGTTCGTAACAGTTCTGCTATATGTTGGTTAGTCAATAGGTACGTTCGTTTAAAATCTGCAGTAAAAAATGTCCAACAGCGAAAATCCGGCGAAACTTTTATTTTCGATCTCCTTGTGCGTAAATTTATACTCTTCGCCAATCTGCTATCAACAGCTGTAAAAAGTTAAGAAACACTCCTATTGTTAATTTAGGAAAACCAAATAACGATTTAACTGGGTACGGTTTAGTTATTTTACACACACTTGCAGCCAAGGGTCTACACTTTATTGTAAACCCTAATTCTGTAATTTGTGTTCACTAATTTATTAATAAATTCGGTCTGAAAAATGCACTTTTTTGGGAAATTCGGAGTGAGTTCTACGCAAATATACCGTGGATGGCGTACTTTGGACAATCGAAGAGTGTTCTGCAAAAAAATACTCTTTATCGAGTTTACATTTCCGGTGTCAAAATGCTGATTTTAGACCATTTTAGAATGGTTCCCTAGGGGTATGTGGAAGGTTTCGAGGGATGACTTTTTACAAATAGTGAACTGTGCTCTTTGTAGTGGGTGGGATATCAAGACCCCCTCCCCCTCCGCCCACTAACCCAGAAAACAGGGGGCAAATAAATAAACATTTCCAATTTAACTGTTTGTGCGTTAATATTTCTGCGTAGTTTTACACAATTATTAAAGCATTACAAGGCAAAATGAAGTCTGCAGTGGCAAATTGTAAAAGTGAACAAAAAGGCAGGCGCGCGATGTAAGTAAGTTTTTTTCTGTACATATCTACATACATATAACTTCATGCATTTTTCCAACATCCGGCATGTGCTGAAAATCGTACTTACCTAAGAGGCTACATCACGGTTGCCAACTTTTGCATTCTTGAAACCGGTACGCACAGTAAGCCCGTTCTTTTGCTCGCCCGCAGTGTTTATTTGGTTGGTTCTCGGGCTGTAAAGAGCCACTTTGAGCGAGTAATATTTGCTTCTCACTTGCCCGAAGTCGGCCGGACTATTTTTCCGGGCGAGTTGTAAAAACTGTTAAAGTGCCAGAAAAAGAGGAACAATTTTAGACACTAAAATTTTAGCTAATAACGATATTGTGTTTGCTGCCACTCAAATCCTAAATTTATAATTTTGTGCGATTTGATGTTTAAAGCTCTTTTGCCATAAATTTCGTACTTACGCTCATTTGCCCAAGACTAGCCCAAAAATGGTAAGAACAAACCTAACGTTAGGAAAGAGGGCAGGTAAAATTATTTACACAATAGGGGTATTCTTGAAATCTTGCATAGGCGTTGCTCGTAGCAAGGATGCACGGATTGCATAACTTTAAAACACACAACAACAAAATACATGGGAAACAATATTTCTTGTCGCTGCAAAATATGCAACGTCAAAGCCCAGGCATATATTTTCCAAAAAAGCACAGCAAGATAAATGCGACCCTGTGCTAGTTGTTTTGTTGTTGGAATTGCTTCAATTTCTCTCATTTTGCTCACTTCATCTTTTTTCTGCTGTATCTTGTTATTGTATTTGATACAGAATTTCTCTCTTTGCTACCTATGCATGCTTTCAATTTGCAATGGGGTGCTCCCATACTCTTGCAAATTTGGAATAGTATGTTTGCATTTAATTCAATCCGTACTACTTTCAAGACATCGAGAATATCCCTAATATGTAACAAACGGCTTCAATTTTATTGCTGCATTTTCGGAAAGTTTCTATTTAGAAAACCAAAAAAAGTGTAAAATTTCATATATAAAAATTGTCATAAAACAAAGCTTCAATGATAATATTTTCAAATTACTTAAAATATATACTTAAAGTGGAATAAAAATCACACTAAGTTATAAAATGCTATATGTAAATATTTGAAGAGTTCTAAATTTTTTACAAAGAGATGCCTAATTTGTTTTTTTTTTTGTACCAAAATCCGGGATATTTTGCGTCCCGGCAGGTTTTGTACCGGGACCGGGATATAGCTCTTAAATCCGGTACAGTCCCGCCGAAAACAGGACGGTTGGCAACCGTGGGCTACATGCCCAAAGTCATTGCTACGTGTTCATATTTAATTAAAATTTGTATATTTATTAATTCCTGCAAAGCTGGGCCATTTAATATTGATATTAACACATTATTTCGCATTGTTTACATATTTTCTCTCTCGCAATTGCACCAAGATGACGTCACGCAAAAATTACGCTTAAAAATCCTTTCTAATGGGCGCAATCTTGTATTCTATAATTCTTTATATGAAAACGATAAATTTTTTTGCTCAGTTCTACTCATCATTTAGTATTACTCTTCCCCTTAAAATTCATTTTCGTTTGTTGCGATTCGATTCTTCTTTCTCGTGATATAGTTGTAATCAAGAATGATAGAATACAAAGATTGCGCCGATAGGGGTGCAAAAATTTTTCGTTCTGCGCATCTACGTCATAATATAAAAGTTGTTGTTGGCGATCTGTCAAATCGCATACAATTTCGACGAAAAAAAGTAAATATAGCATAAAATTTAGTTGAAAGACTAAAATAAAACAATCTGGTGGCAATTTATTGAATCGAGAAGACGGTAAATTTATTTTGTGTTTCTTTTACATTATTTATATTATTGTTTTATTTCAGGTAGTGAGTAGGGCGTTCAAATAAAAATTGCATTCTGTGGCCGCCGTTGCGCTGGCAAATGGAATGAGTAAGATTTCCAAATGAAATTGAAGCCACCGCAAATAGTGCATAGCTCCAAGGCTTGGAAACAAATATAGAAGCTATACGATGCCAGAAAGACTGCAGAGAATCGAAGAGCGCTAACCAGGAAACAGCGTAAAAGGGCCAATTCGTTGAGCAAGGGCGTGCTCATAGCATGGTAAGTAGCATCTGCGACAATACATTACTTTTTACTAACTTCCAATGCGTACTTATTTCAGGAAATACAATGCAAACGGTGCCAACATAAAATTAAACTGCCAAGGCATAAGCAAGAAATTTTACCTGAAACTGTGACGCCTGCCCACAGCATCAAATAAGGATATCGTTCCAATGAAACCCAATATTAACGACGTATTTTGACGACGATGAACTCTTTGCGAACGCTCCGGGTTTTCATCACCCGGCTTGTAAATTGATGGCACGGAGCCTCGTTTCAACAATCTTCTTTTTGCATAACCTTAGAAATGTTTTAAACACTTTCATTAATATAAACACAATAAACGAAATAAATAAACATCCTACCCATTTCAAACTGCAGACTATTTTCAAAATCTTCACTTGCAAAGTGATGCATGCAAATATAGCAAGTTTAAATTGAAAATCCTTGCTTTGCCGGCAGAACTGGATCCACTTTTTCCTAAGTTCTGAATCTGAAGGAAAAGTAAACAAACTGTACTCTGCCGCCGTTTTTCCACATTTCGCAACTGCGCACTTCATTTTACAACGTTTTTATTTTATAACTTTAACAAAAATATTACAAATCAATACATTTTCCTCGCAAACCAATACGTTTCCCTCGCAAACCAATACGCTTCCCACCAAAAATTTTATATTATGACGTCAACACTCGAACAGCTGATTTGTAAACAAGAGTAACGGACCTGCGCAAAGCGCAATCTCTTTATTCTATCATTCTTGAGTTGTAATATGCAGTAGACTGCATTACTCCCCCATACAAAAAAAATCTGTTGCGTGTTTCCATTGGAATTCTAAAATCTATTATATGTATTTGAAGACTTGGACCAAAATATTTCGAAAAAATATTAAGATTTATGGGAGCCGATTTGAAAATACCCCCAAAACTGTAGTTTTTTATGAATAAAAATAGTTTCTTAATGAATTTTTTGAAAAAATCCCCTCAGACGACAAAACAGTTTAGGCTTAAAAAATCTGCATACAAATATTTAAAAGAAATTTTCTACGGAAACGTAATAATGAGATGTTTGATGCTCTTTTTTTTAACTCTTTTCAAAGATTGGTATAAGAAAAACTTGAACAACTGGACCAAAAGTTGTGAGGTGTCATTATAAAAGTTTTTATTTCTTTGGAATAAACTCATTCAAAGTATGAAAGAGACAAGTAGGATGAAAGAGCGTCATTCCAAGTTGAACTACTTAAGATGTATTAGTATTTGCCAAAAGGGACGTGAATGAGTTTTTTTTTTGCAAATAAATAGAAAGAGAAATAGAAAGTACATTTCTACTTATACCTCACAAGTCTAAATCGGAATAGTTTTGAAAGAGTTATTCAAGTTGTTCTTAAACCAATCTTAGAAAAAAGCTAAAAACATCATAAAAAATTTCATTATTACAATTCTGTTGAATATTTTTATACCCGAGCGCACTTGTGCACAAGGGTATATTAATTTTGTTCACATAACGGTTGTTTGTAACAGCCAAAACGAATCGAGA